CAAACATACTTAGCTACTTTAAATTATTATCATTGGCTTGCTTTTTATTCTTTATTCTATTCCTTCTTTGTATATCTACTGGGTCCGTCTATATTATCACTATGATTATTACAAAATTGTCCGGTCATTAACCATTATTTAATATTAGTTTTGTAGTTGTTCTTTGTTCAGTACTATTTGGCTGACAATCTTGTTTGTGAACGTCACTATCACCATCTTAAAAGCTTTGTAGGCAAAGTTAAACTTTCGACACCACTAACAACCAATCAGCAAATGACCTTGAACGAACCAATTACATTAAAGAGGCATTTATGATGAATGGAAATGTATATTTATAAAAAAAACCACTAAATAGAGAATGAAAGAGTTACATGGGATATCTTTCTCGAACATGTGGGAGAAACATCTCCCAGTATAGCATGGGACTGTCAATGCTTTTCCATCTGCTATCCTTTCGACGAATCCCTTTCGGAGGGAGGTGTCATGCAAACCTATTACCCAAATATTGTTCGATCGCTGGCGACCACGGTTGTATTTCTTTTTTACCAGCACTGTTTCATCGACACGTACGATAACGTCTTCCCCACCTAGCAAACAAGTGATTTTCCCCATTTTCCATGATGCGATATCTCTGCAATGCTGGTAGCACTGAACTGTTGAGACATGGCTATTCTCCATCTCGGCCGCTGCTGCTCTCACAGCCTGTTTCAACACCCATTAGTTGCAGATATACAAAATCTGGGTTAGGAAGAGATGCGACCTAGTGAAAGTAAGTTCCTACGAAATATTAAAATTATCAGCTTACCCTCTCCAGATGAACAAACCCATCAGTTGGTTTGGTATAGCTTTTTAAAGTAATGATACAACCACACAAACAAATTCGCTCTTTCCGGAGCAACTCAAATCCAGGAAATACTGGAAAACACTAACCTCCTCGAATTGCAACTGTAGCGTTGTAAGGTCACGCATTAGAAATGAATCAAGCGCTATACAACATTGAACTGCGTTCGTGAACCTCATTGGATAATTCGAAATCGTCCGTGAATCTCATTGGATAATTCGCTGATTGGTAGTTAGTGGTGTCGAAAGTTTAACTTCGCCGTTTTGTATTATGCAGGATTACTCACACTGCCACAACAAACACTGCATTAGTGCTGACAATAAAAATAAAAAACCCTGAAATGTTTATTTTATGATTGTTTAGTGTAGTGCAATCAAATTAACTGATCATCTTGGCTATAAACATTCTCAAGAACATCTCATAATTTCTTGTATGATTATAGCTGTTACTGTTTACCACGTATATACATATCATAGCTCCCACTACCAAACACTGAAATATTATTCATTATTGGTGTTTATCTTCCTTTCTACTTGGTATTTTTATTTGCATTTTTTGTTATTTTTGTGATTCTTTTTGGTTGTTTTGTTGTTTATATATATATTGTAATACTCCTTTTAAATGGACGATGAAATTAGGTGCAATATTGTAGATATGTGCTGAAAATTCCATACTGTACCACAAGTACTGTTTCTGGAATAAAAGCGAAATTGTTGTCATGTTTTCATCACTCACTACACTCAAACAAACCTATGATTCATACAAATCTAATCAGCTATCTGAGTGCATCGAGCTAGAACGCATCCTTCACTCACGACCCGATAATACACAGGCATTAGTTAAACTAATTAAGTCACGAATCAACAACAACAGAATAAGTATCCCTAACTTATTACTAGATGGAGAAAAACTACACGAAGACCCGCAGGAGATATGTGAGTTATTCAGCTCCCACTTTTCTAGCTACTATACTATCGAAGAAACAGTAGATAGTCTTGAAGTTCCAACAATACCAAATCACTTTTTGGGTAATATAACATTCACCCAACAAAAGATTTCCTCCGCTACAGCATCTCTCCGGACATCATATAACGCTGGGCCCGATGGAATTCCATCTATCTTGTTGAAAAGAGGTGGTGAGGACACAACCATTATCCTACTAAAGTTTTCCAATCTATCCTTAAATAATGGCAGTTACCCAGAGTGCTGGAAGCTGTCGTTTATAACCCCTAGGCACAAACAAGACCAACTTCTAATATCGAAAACTACCGACCAATCAATATCACGTCAGGAGTTTCCAGGGTTATGGAAAAGGTTATAGGGCAAGATATTGCTTCATACCTCCACCTTCACAAAGTGTTTACTCCAGCACAACACGGCTTCTTGAAAAATCGATCATGCTCCACCTGCCTACTTGACTACTTTGATGATGTTACCGCTAAGTGTGATCATGGTTTGTATGTCGCAACTCTCTTCTTTGACTTCAAAAAAGCCTTTGATAAAGTCCCACACAAGAGACTAGTCCTTAAGCTAAAGTCGTACGGGTTCCAAGACCCCTTGTTATCCTGGCTCATTTCTTTCTTGGAAGATCGTTCCCAAGTTGTGAAATTTGCAAATAATTACTCGTCACCCAGACCTATAAGAAGTGGAGTGATTCAGGGTAGTGTACTAGGTCCACTGCTTTTCGTAATCTACATTAACGACATCTGCAACGTAATCAAGCATGGTATCTCATACCTCTTTGCTGACGACTTAAAGATTGTATACAGCTTGCCCATTCTACATTGAACGAGGGATTCACACATATTGAAGATGATTTGGATAGGCTACATAAGTGGAGCAATGACTGGCAACTGCCATTCAATTCTGATAAGTGTGGTGTCCTATATTCCAATAACTCCCATCCGAATTTCAGCTTACACCTAGGCGACTCTTTTCTCCAAACCCTCAGTTCCATAAAAGACCTGGGAGTTACCTGCTCGCAAAACTTAGAATTCAATCAGTATGCAAAAGCACTTGTTTCTAAATGCCGAAGATTCACAGGCTTGTTACATCGAAAAATGTACACAAATGAGGCTAAAGTCCTTTTATACAAAGTCATGGTTCGTCCAGTACTTGAATACTGCACAACTGTCTTTGGTTTCATGCATGGGTATGACAGGGTTCGTATTGAAAATATTCAGCGAAGTTTTACACGACGCCTACTATACAAACATGAGTGAGTGACTTACGCTGATAGGTGCAAAATACGTGGACTTGAGCCACTTTGGTTAAGGCGCCTGAAACTCAACCTTACATTTCTCTTTCGCCTTTTACACTGCTACGTCGAAAGCAATAATCCAATAGCTTTCAACAATTTGCCCATATATATACTCTTAGGAATCATGAAAATACTCTATCCACAAGGCGGTACCGGATAAAACCGCGATCACGTTTCTTCAAAATACAGTACACTGCATTATGGAACGAACTTCCACTTACTGTACGTAGTTGCCGATCTCCTACTGAATTCCAGCGTCAACAAAAGAGCTTCGGTCTACCTATCAACACTTTACCAATACGGGCCGCCCAACGGGCTTCAGTACTACAGACCCCAATGCAATACCCACAATTTGAGGAAACTCATTTGCCCCGGCAACCGTACCGCATCTATAACGTGATAAAACCAACCCAATCACTCCCATTTGCCCTCAGCTAAGGTTCGGGTATTCAGTGTATTACAGATCTTATCAATAATCCATCAATCGGGTTTATAAACACATAAGATTACCTATAATTATACTGGACGTATAATCCCAAATAAGTTGTAATAGTCCTTCCATAATATGAGTGTTGAAATGTATAAAGCATGCTGTCAACGTTGTTTAAGATTAAACAATCAATTCGTGGTTGCTTGCTCAAACATAACTTCCTTAATTTTTCGACGAGGCATCAATACACCAGTCATCGTCTCATCGGTCGCTGATCATAAAGAAACCACAAAACCGTCAGAAGTAATATTGCGATTTATTATTGTATTGTATGTTCATAGACCTCAGTTGTAAGGTTCCTTATATGTTGGTGTTAGAATAAATAATTCTCGAGTCGCCAATCTGTGTTCTGGTTTTTGCGTCCGTTATTACTAAGCGTTTCTGAGAAACTCCAAGGAACAGCGTAAGTCCCAGCATAGCAAGAGCTGGGCATTAACAGTTTACGAGACGTGGCTGACAGTTTCTGACGGTACGGCGTCAGTTAATGACGGATTCAGACAGTTGGTGAGAGTTTGGATAGTCACCGTCAATCTTTCCTGGTGCCGGCCAAGTCTTCTTTGAACAAGCAATATCTGAAACATTTTGAGAATTGGGTCAAGTTCAACAATGCCTGGGACAAAGAAGGGACAGAGCGTCATGGAAGCAAACAGGAAAGTGAGTCATGTTCACTTGTCTGTTACTTGTAACAATGTGTCTGATGTTAAGCATGATATGGTTGATGTCACTGTTTCGCCGTCCAGGGATAATAGGAACATCAAACTTCCTAAATTTGAACCACGGTGTTTCGATGGAAACCCGGCTGATTATTTACAATTTGTAAAGGAGTTTGAGATTATGCTGAGTGGTTTTTATTAAGTGATGAATTGAAATTGATGTATTTGATGAGGTATTGCACTGGAGTTGCTTCAAGAGCTATACAGTGCGGTAAGCTCATGCCCCCTAATGAGGGATACGCTGAGGCTATGAGCATATTACGTCAAAGGTTTGGAAGACCTTCAGTGATTGTAAGGAACGTATACAAAGCTGTCAAAAGTAACGGCAGTCAACTTCAAGATGACTCCAAGGCACTTACTGAGTTTTTAGATAATCTTATGACTTATAAGAATACCTTGATTTCTATGAATTGCATGAATGACCTCAACTCGAGTTTTATACTAGAAGTAATAGTGAGAAGCCTACCTATTCAACTGCAAAGGAAGTGGGTCAAGATAAGCTCTCGCTTAGAGGATGAGGGTATCGAGCCAAAGTTTGATGATATCATGAAACTGGTAAACGATAGTGTCAATCTATCTATGAGCAAGTTTGCCAGTATGTTGCATCTCACCTCTAGAATAGAGCGGTCTGAAGGTAAAACGCAATCATTGATGTAGAGAAAAGGGTCTCGGAGAGGTGGATATCGAGAAGGCTCTATGGTGTCTAGCAGTGCATATAGACTCAGTGAGTGTAACAGGTTTCGTGGTACATCCTCAACAGATAAGATACAAGCTGCAAGGCAAACACGGTTGTGTTTTACACATTTGCAAGAAGTGCATACAAAGATGAACTGTGAATTAGTGAGCAAGTTTAATGATAAGCTAAATGTGAAATCACGGTCTGACTCCGAGTTGTGTGACAATAACGGCGTGTTCAAGAAGCCTGTAGTTGCAACTGGTAAGCCATTGTTGAATCGAATGGCAGAGACGAGAGTTAAAGTTGCAGAGTCCAGTTCTGACCTCATAAGTTTACAAGGTATTACTAGTCAGAGTGAAGATATAAAACCTTTAAGGAATTGTGAGGAAGAACTAAAAGTGTCTACTTCTGTTAAAAAAGAGTTTAAAATGATGAAATTGACGGTAAAGTGAACATTCGTGATAATGATCATGATAGTGCATATTTGTCTTTGGTTGATTATGTTGAGATGAATGGAATTCCCACTACTGCTGAGTTGAACAAAGGTTCTGTACTACTTGAACGTGGAGCAGAATTAAAGGCAGATTCAGTTGTAGAAGGTATGGATATTTGTGAGAACGTCAGTGTAAATGATCAGCGTGTAGCCCACCTACAATCAGATGCTAGTGCTAAACCCGAGCTAATAGAAAAAGACAGCAGTGGTGGTAATCTTGCAGTTAGACAACTTTCTGAAAGCCGAACAACAACAGCTTTTGATCCACCGCTAAGTTCATCAACTGGTATCAATCAGTCGTCGTTAGTGTTGTCATCCACAATGAAACAGACGCCCATGAACTCAAGTACCTTGTGCAATGACTTTGATAGTATTGGTGCATTTGGGAGGACGAAAGATATTGGTCAGTTTAGTGATGATAAGCCAAGTGTGTACGAGAGGGTAATTGTTAAATTGGCTTGCATGAATATTGGTTTTTCAAGTTCCAAGTTACTATTTGAATGCTATTATCTTTGGTGTAAATTACTCTGTGCCTACGCTAGGTTGATCAGATACGTCGTATGTTTGTTCGTCATCTATATTCTACGATACAATGACATGAGCGTGTTACCGTTGAGAGTTGAGGATATAGCTGATAGTGGGAAGTCAGCAAGTGAACTCTGCAACGATTTTCCAACCTAAGGCGTCAACCTGAGAAGGGTTGTAGGCGTACTGGTGTAAGTCCTGCGATTCTTCAAAGGAATTACATCGAGACATGATCTTCGAGGTTATGTGTGCTGTTTGTATATATGTTTGGTGTTCCATATCAATTGGTTTTTTGGCATTCACTGTGTTTGCTTGTTGTTTCCGTAATTGTTGTTACTTGTTAAAGTTACTAGTTAAAACGTGTTTAAATTTAATGTTAGAAGAGTTTTAAGTACCGGAGCAAATGAGGTCATATTCTGCTGAGCAAAATGTAGGGGATAGTGGTACCTTTAGGGATGAGTGTAGTTTGAAGGAAATTGGGAACCTGGTTGCTTGGCTGAGTTTGTTGTTGCTGGGTTTTCCTGTCCACTTTTCATATGCAATGTGTCAGTTACGTCTCATAAACCGTTAATGCCCAGCTCTTGCTACGCTAAGCCTCACGCTACCCCTCGAAGCTTCTCAGAAACGCCTAGTGCGAACGGACGGCAAAACCAGAACACAGATTGGCGACTCGAGAGTTCTTTTCTCTCACACCAACATATAGCCAACCTTACAACTAAGGTCTATGAACAAATATTACAATAATAAATAACAAGATTACTTCTGACGGTATTGTGGTTTCTTTCTGAACAGCGACCGATGAGACGATGACTGTCGTATTGATGCCTCCGCGAAATTTGGGGAAGTTGGGTTTGAGCAAGAAATCATGAATTGATCGTTCAATCTTCAACTACATTGAAACGCCCCGGCAGAAAAGGGATCCATCCCTTTTTTTCCATCACGACCAATACACGTTGACTTGGATGCCATTGCCAGAACCTGGGTCACACGGACAGAACTGAAATGGAAAACAAACAGAAAGCCAACACACCACAAGTATACTCACAGCACAATCTCACACATCAATGACGACCTGCGCCTTCCAGTTAAAGGCATCCTCTTGCAACACAATCGCCACTTGCTAGAATGACTCTTGCAGAATACAACGTCACCATAGCACCACCTCACGATACTCTACGCACATCCTCTTATCTACTCACTACCAATTATCACTGCAATCACTTGTCACTCATTCTGCCTCAGTTCTAGTAACGAGGACGTATGCGAACCTCAGTCGTCTACAGTCTCGCTCCCCGGCGTGTGGGACCACAGCTAATCCTTATCTCCGTGTGCATGTCATTCTCAGCAATTGCCTCCCCGGCGTATACGACCCATCTGCTGTCCTTAACATCAATCAATTCACTCACGAATGTGGAATACTCGAAGCAACTTCAGAAGTAAGCACGACGAAAATTTTAACAAAATACGCAATCACAACAAGGTACGAAAACAACGAGTAAACACAATGAATCCAAAATACACCAATTGCTATGACACACCACACGTATATACAAATAGTACAAACAACCTCGCCGATCAAGTCTTGGTGGAATTCCTTTGAAGAATTGCAGGACTTACACCAGTACGCCTACAACCCTTCTCAGGTTGACGATTGTAGGTTGTGGAATGTTCGGACACAAACAAGATTAACCAACAATTACAATAATTGGAACTCACACAATTATTTAACACAAACCTATGTACAAGCAACACATCAAATGTGGTGGATTCTGCCTTGACGAACTACCCTTGAAGAATTGTAGGACTTACAGCCGTACGCCTACATTCCTTCTCAGGTTGACGATCCAAGTGGAAGTCATCCGGACACAAACAGAATTACCAACAGTTAGATGACAGATGATACCAATTCAGTATATACAACATGAACATATGTACAAAATCACACACCAAGCACGTTGTGCTACTCATTGTAGGACTTACAGCAGTACGCCTACAACCCTTCTCATGTTGACGCCTTAGGTTGGAAAATCGTTGCAGAGTTCACTTGCTGACTTCCCACTATCAGCTATATCCTCAACTCTCAACGGTAACACGCTCATGTCATTGTATCGTAGAATATAGATGACGAACAAACATACGACGTATCTGATCAACCTAGCGTAGGCACAGAGTAATTTACACCAAAGATAATAGCATTCAAATAGTAACTTGGAACTTGAAAAACCAATATTCATGCAAGCCAATTTAACAATTACCCTCTCGTACACACTTGGCTTATCATCACTAAACTGACCAATATCTTTCGTCCTCCCAAATGCACCAATACTATCAAAGTCATTGCACAAGGTACTTGAGTTCATGGGCGTCTGTTTCATTGTGGATGACAACACTAACGACGACTGATTGATACCAGTTGATGAACTTAGCGGTGGATCAAAAGCTGTTGTTGTTCGGCTTTCAGAAAGTTGTCTAACTGCAAGATTACCACCACTGCTGTCTTTTTCTATTAGCTCGGGTTTAGCACTAGCATCTGATTGTAGGTGGGCTACACGCTGATCATTTACACTGACGTTCTCACAAATATCCATACCACTCTGTATCGGGGTACGTTCAATGTTTTCGTTACATTTTTGCGTGATTCGTTACATAAAATTTATCTTGTTGTAGTACTTGAACAAGTACTGTTCTACTTCCATACTTGTTACCGCTAACTGCCATTCCTAATAGTTATGGTTAATCAAAGTGAAAAGCAACGAACCCAATCCCCTGTAAAACCGGTGCCTAATATAACATCCTTGATTGCTACATCAAGCAATACACCCCCTACACACGGCTATAGTGAGTCACATAACTTACTTGTATGCCGTAAGTGTCGAGCTGGAACTGAGGATAAAACTGTACTGACAGCTAGCATTAGCACTACTCCTAAAAATTCAGTACCCTCTGCTCATACAGAACCTCTCCCTACACCTTGTGTGTTATAGAAAAACTCCAGCCATCAAGCTCTTTTTCAGTACTATCTTCAGAAATAGAACTTCTAAAGTTGTCTATAGGAGAACTTAAGGCTGAGTTAAGGGAAATAAAAAACAGCAAGTCATTAAATGCTCGAAATATTGAAACCAATACCGAGATATCCAAATTGTCAGATCAGATCAGCGATATCAGATCGCAGGTCTGTGAACTGACACCTCTTACTATCCTCACGAAAACTGTAAACCTTAACAAGCTTGACACAGAATCGGTAACTAGGGTAGATAACCTCATTAACTCTGTTACCACAGAAGCAACAAAACGACTCGACGCAAAACTGAGTGCTATTGTCTACAACGTTCCGGACAATGAGGCACTAAAAAAGGTACAGCGCATCTTACTTAGTGAAGCGAAAATGCCTAACTCCAAGACTAAGTGCTAAAGGCTGAAGAAGAGTCAACATGAAAAGTGTTGTCCTATTCGTTTTCAGTTCGAAACACCGGCAGAGACCAGAAAATTCATCCACTCCCAACACACCCTATCGCAAGCCAGAAACTACAAACATATAAAGGTCGGGGTGGACAAAACAGTCATAGAAAGGCGCGCATACAACTATCTCGCTAAGACTAATTGTGAAATAGGTAATAGGACTTTGCAAGCAGCCATTATTCCCAACCCTGTGAAAGATACAGTAGACCCCACCGCATCACCCCTCTCAAAACACACAGAATTATCCCATCAGAGTGCAACACCAGCCGAAAGGCCACTAGACTGTAACCAAATAAATAATAAAACCATACCACCTATCACCGCAGAATCTAAAATGCCATTAAATAACCCCAGAAAAAAAGTCAAAACCCCCGAAATTCGACTTTGTCCTCTCCTAGCCATAACTCCATTGCTAAAGGTAAGGAAAATATGCCCCTAAATCATACCAACAAAAACAGTGGCAGCTTAAATAAACCCACACTTCCCACGGTCAATAGTATTAGCACCCACAACGTGCTAAATCGCACCATGGCACACACTGATATCCAATGTCACAACAATGTCACCCTCAATAGTACAAGTGGTAATAGTCAGAACTCGGCTACCAACAACTCAGGGTCTTCAGAGTATGGCACACAAACAAATTTTGACCGGATATATGGTACAAGTCTGCTGGGAACTAACCCACAATGCAGTACACACGAAACCCACACAAGGACACAACTAGCATCAAACAATAGGTGGAATAATAAGCCATGGTCATCACAAGGATCCAATCATTTTTTATCCCCCGCGTCCCTGTCAGCGTTGAAAAAACAGCTGGTAGGGATGTTAACACTCCTAAACCACTAGAGCTGGCTCCCTCCTTGCATGAAAACAGGAACGGTCTAGTGCACCCGTATCCATTAGGCACACTTGACACCTGCACAAGTATAGGCCAAATAAAGAACCCTACCCACTTCTGTAACCTAACTA